TTCTGAAGCGCTCTCCAAACTTCGAACAATACCTACTTCTCTCAGATGCTATTTCTAAACCGATCTTAAAATTTAGAACATGCAACCATAAACTCCCCATAGAAACAGGGAGATGGCAAAATATACCAAAAGAACACAGAGTTTGTAACTTATGTGACTCACATTTGATCGGAGATGAGTTCCACTATTTGTTTAAATGTAATTATTTTGCAGACATACGTAAATCGTTGTTAAAAGAACCTTATAGTCCCTGGCCAAATTTATCGAAATTCCGTCAACTGTTTTCAAGTAAAATTTCTACCCTTAAAAATGTATCCAAGTTCATCAAGATTGTTTGCAAACACTTCAATTGATGCATCATTTAGTCATCTTGTTGTACATATTGTATGTAACATACCTCTTTGTTATACCCATGTACCACCGATGGTGGATTATTTTGAGTAATAAACGTGTGATGATATTTTTATATGGTAAGGATGAATAAATATTACAAAATCATTTTCGAAAACTCAAAATTCATGTTTTGGGGGTTGTATTTAAATAAAAGCATGTTTAATAGAAACATGACAACAAATTCAACTCATTTTAACTTAATTTCAACATTGTCAGCGTTGTTATATCAAACGAATATTGTCTTCTGTATGTTTAAATTGCAACTTATAATATGATTGTTTAGTTTATCAAACATTATACCATGTGATCCTGCATATTATACACGATGACGTGGAAGTAAACTGGTGTAAAGAAGCGTTGAATTATTTGATACACATGACATTTTCTCTGAAGCACTAGTGTGTGGTGTAGATGTAATATCCAGCCAGACAATTGTGCTGTTAAAATGAAGCTCTTTTCCCTCTACATTCCCAACATAGCCCAATAAAAAGTGTCAAGACTTTGTTTCGTCCAAATAGGCCAGGGCTTTCAAATAATTTCATATAAGCTTATGATTGTTTACCAATCCGGTTCCTTTCATTGGAAATAAATATGTTTAAATCGGGCTTTCAAAAACAACTATAATCTTACGATTGTATCCTGAATTGTGTTTCAATCCATACACTACTACTATATCTACCTACATACCACTTAGTAACGTCATAATACATACTTTGTAAAGATAACTGGTCCATTAAAATGAAAGCCCTTTTCTCTTTCATTTCCAACATTGACTCAATCAAAAGTATTATATCTACCTAAATACCACGTTATAAGATATCAAAGTGATGTGTTGTAAACAAATACACTTTTCAAAGTGCCACATCCCTAGCATTGTCTCCATATCACAGGTGTTCCGTCCCACTTGGCCAGAGCTGTCAAAATGCACAGTCTCAAAGGGGGTGTTCTCTTTTTGTCTGCAGGTATTGTTTTGGGATTAAAATCAGCGGACCATACTTATCCTTATAACAATGGTGATTCAAGCTATAGTCTATATTAGAAATGCATGTATGCAAGCAAATAAGGAGAAATGGTAATGTTTATCAAATTCCGTTTGTTGCATATAGCTCCCGGAAATACAATAAATGCACGAATATGAATCATTTGACAAATATTGGATGCAACATCAACAAATACAGAACCTTTCTTACAGTATCTCCACTGGACAGTTCGGTTTCTTCTTCATTTCACTCTAAACTTATAACCATTGAATACTAGACTCTGGCCACCCGAGGAATTGGAAACAAATTGAACACGTGCCTCTGCCATTGTAGAATGACTTGTCGTAAACTTAAATTGCTGTATAACCCCTCATTGCACATTTGATTACTTTTAATGACTGTGTTCACTAATCTATATGAATGGGTTTAGTGTGGTCAGTGAGTGAACTCCACTTACTCGAACAGGCTATAATTCTGCAAGCACTAGACTGTTAATCCTAATCCGCTTATTGCCAATTAAAGTGCAGGCAAAAAGATAATACACCTCTCAAAGTGTAGTATTTTAAGCGCACATGTTGCTGTTAATTAATAGCCAGGTACGCCTGTATCCAGGTTGCATAATAGCCCCTTGTTATTGGTGTTATGTTTCAATCCGTCCAACTGCGCTTAATTACCTGTCAGGAGCTTTCAGTGGTATCGTTTCATTGATAAATTTCATGGATAAGTATGTAATACAGACAGCCAATCAACTTTCACTTTCAGAATTAATGGGCATGGTAACAGCACTCCATGACCCGATTGTAAACAACACAATAAAATATTAATTCTAACAGACCCTCACAGTGAGCACCAAGCAATAAAAACAAAAGCACCAAAAACCAACTCGTCATTTGGATCCCTGCCCATGCTGGTGTTCTTGGCAACGGGCATGCCAATAAATCTAAAAATACAATACTACAATAAATCTAAAAATATGCACAGGGCGGTAACCAAATTACACAAAATTAAATTCCCATCTACATAATAATGGTTTTTTTTATAAACCAACAACACACACACACACACACACACACACACAAAAACGGTGCTCCAGAGTTCACTGGACACTAACACATACCTAACACTACAAACACTTAGCCCACTAAATAACACTCAAACCTTCAAAGCCTTAGGCATATTTTTCATGAAAACTGGTCTTTTAGGTCGCTTATAAACCCATATAACAAACTTCTGCTTCCTTAAAAAAATAATACAAAAACAGAACAAATGCCACCCAAAACATTACGTTGTTCATCCCCCCTACAACTTCTGGCAAATTTCAAAATTCAAAATTCACACAAATTTAATTATGCAGCCCTAAAGCTCTCTCCAAGTTGCCATATCTTTCGCCCCTTCAATCAAAACACCAAATGGCCTGGCTAGTCAGTGTACGAAATACGCATCATGTCGGAAAGCGCACGTAAATCTCCAAATCATCATCATCACCGTTACTTGTTACAATGTCTGTGCCAATCATTTTGTTCTGGGTCTATTGCGTTTATATATTAGTGCTATTACAGGCTACTCCCTTTACACTATGTGACTCGTTGTTGTACAAAAGTAAACTACGGTATTTATTAGACAAGAAGAGATCATTCATGATAGTTAATACGTTGTCAAGACGAAGTGCTACCGCTTAACTCTACTAGAGTACTTTCAAAGAGTCCATGTGAATTTGCCGACGAAAAAGAGACCGTGGAGAATGTATATGTCGGCGCTTTAAGGTCCACATTTGGTCACTCTTGTCATTCTCACTACGCATTGCAATTGGTTTCACAGTTTTCTTTTGTGTCCGGATGTCACATTCAATCAAAAGCAGTACCTGAATATATAGTCACAGTCGACCGTGGGTGCATTTCTCCATTAGCTGTGTTAGTTTCTTGTACAGTGTTCTACCCTTGCAGCCTGTAGGTCGTTTTGGTCTATATGTACCACTGGCTGACCAGTACTTCACACAGTTGGGATACAATGACAACTCATGATCGTACAAAACGTTTACCTCTTGTCTTACTGACTATTCTTCTAGACACATTATGTCATACTGCCACGTACTACATTTGTAATGTGCATAAGAGTACACAGCAGATAACTAATAATCTGCGTATCCTAGAAATGTTGCACTTAGCATATGTCAGAAACTACACAGCATTTTCCCTGTATCTTTTAACTGATCTGCTTTTGCTCCATAGTTTCAGTCTCACACAAATACGTAAACATTTTGGACTGGTTACTGAAACATTTTTGTGATATCTTTTATATGGTTTACTTGTATTTAACAGACTCAGTTTGCATTGAAATGTTTTCAGTGCTTTCGAAGATTTTTGCTTCGCTTCAAAATATCTTCCGCGTTTGTTTATAAATTCATGCGGGCCTTAGGTTTTGGAATGTTTGCCTTCGTGGCAATTAAATTTACCTGTATTACCTTGGCTTTGCGATATAGTAGTTGAAGACAACATAAGCACGCGTACATGATTCACTGTAGATATTAAAACCAATTTACGTTGAAACGTGATGTGCACGGTATACGTTTTTTGTCATGGGTTTGTTTTTGCAAATTGCTTGTTCAAGTATGTCAGTTCAATGACAAACAAGTCTTTGCCACTGATAGGGCAATGTCCCCAGCCGCTAAAGAATGGAATATCTATATTTACTGGTGTCACTGGCATAATCACCCAATGTAGGCTGTCAACATACTTGAAAACATTGGGTGCAATGTTTTATGAGATATCGCGTTTAAATAAGTTTAAAAAGCGGTCAAAGTGTCGTGGTGACCTTGAAGATAAGGTCAAGGTCACCCAAATAAACTGGTGTCTGCGTAATACCCCAATGTAAACTGTCACCAAATTTCAGACATTGGGTACAACAGTCCATGAGATATCGCGTTAACAAGAGTTAAAAGCGTGCAACGTAGGCTGTCACCAAATTTCAAGACATTGGGTATAACAGTTCATGAGATATCGCGTTAATAAGAATTTAGGAAAAGTGGTCAAAGTGTCGTTGTGACCTTGAACCTTGAAAATAAGGTCAAGGTCACCAAAATCGACTGGTGTCTGGGTAATCTCCCAATGTAGGCTGTCACCAAGTTTGAAGACATTGGGTACAACAGTTCATGAGATATCGCGTTAACAAGAATCGGGACGTACGGACGGACGGACGGACGCCGCTGAATACATAGTCCCCCGTTCCGCGTTGCGGCGGGGGACAACAATGGAAACTCATTTGCAACACATTATTATACACATTATTATAGACCGTCATAAAAGTCAGGCACTGTTGATGGATAATGATTTGCAAAATAGTTGCTGAGAGTGTTTATGTGAATAGAGGCGTGTGCTTATGGCAGTTATTCTGTTGTCAATAGTAATACTTATTTGTCTGAGCTTTGATTAGCATTATTTTTGTAAGCTGATTAAATAGTAGGTGAGTATAAGTACATTCATGCTTAAGAACTCACGTAAGACGCCTATGGCGATTAGGGATACGAAACATTCACCAACGTCATTCTAAAATATATGGTCGTCAATGATGTATATAAACTTTTCAGGAATTGAGATTAACGCGGTATAATTGCCTTCGGTTTTGTGACAGGTAAACGTCAGTGCTGAAGGATGATGACCAAAATACTGACCGGTGAACTCACTTTCACCTCCCTGAAACCTCTTGATTTGTCGACCTGCACCAAGAAGTGAGTTTGAAATGCCTCATTGTCTCTGTCACTACCTGTCTCTGTCTCTCTGTATTTGTAAATCTACCAAAATGAAGTTCTTATCGCTTTTGAGTTGTGTAGCCTTATGTGTGTGTAAAACTATTGACATGCGAATCTAACTGTTTGATTTAAAGAGAATGGATTTGGTACAAGTTCTTCCAACTTAGTGAAATTCTCGCCTATTTACAGTGCTTAGATGCAAAATTGAAACAAACTGCATGTACAGGGATAGAAAGATATATATACAAAAGGAGAATAAGACATTTAAAATAAGAATAGATTGAATACATGAATTATTTAGATCATAAATATTAGATCCAATTACTGAATCTTTTGGATTTTGATATATATTTTTGAACTTCTTTAAAAGTTTGAATATTGTCACTGTACGGAAGATCTGCACTGCCATTTGATAGTACCTTTAGGTTTGTTGGTGCTCTAATGCTACAAACTCTGCTAATATTTGGAAACATTTCCTGTCTGATATTAGAATACAAAGAACATTCCACAAAAATATGATAAGAACTGTCATCCAATTGTCACCCATTGCTTCACCAAAAGTTTTACTTTTAGACAGATCAAGCTTTACTTCGAAAACAGCTATGACTTGAACGAAAGCCTCTTCACGGCACTCAAAGGTAACTACTCCAGTTATAATATGTGTATTTTTAGATATGTTATGTTTTATGCACAAAACCAACGCTAGTTTAATTTGTGTCACGCTTCAGTGATTTTATATATATTACTGGAATAAAGTAACTGTGCATTATTTGCCAAAATTCAGCTAACGTCAAAGTCTGATTCTGGGCCTGACGTAAACGTTTCTCCTTTTCATCCCAAACGTGCTCGATAGGGGACAGGTTCGGAGAAACAGCTAACCAGGGTAGCACCGGACTGTTCTGCTGTCTCTGGAAATCTGTCACAACACGAACGACATGCGGACAGGCATTATCTTGCTGAAGCATGAAGTTACGTCTCTGTCCTTGAATGAACGGCCGCACATGAGGCCCAATGATCGCATCCCTGTTTTGCAGACCTGTCAGATTGAGATTGACAATGACTAGGAGATGTGATGCTTCACTATACCACAACGCTTGCGACTGTTGGCGTTGAACAACGCATGCGTCTTCATTTTCGGCCATTCCAGTTTCCAGCATATGTCTCCACGGCATAGAGTCGCTGGTTTTCTGCAAGCCGTATTCGAATGACGTACGCACAGTTTAGGTTCAAATTTCCACAACATTCAGAGCTTCGAGAATAATCAACCAAACTTCAATTTTCAATATCAGGTGTGTGAGCTCCAGGTGTAAAAAATCATGCAAAAATGAGTAAGTTCAATTGTGCACAAAATGCACGTGCCATCACATTTCATGCAAATTGTTTTGCTACATAGTTATTTAGGTTTATTATCATAAGATTTCCAATAAGTTTTTTAATGCAATATTATGTTATGCACAGTTACTTTTTCCGTTAGTATAATTATATTCTTAAGAAAATGTAACGCAAAGCCAGATTTTACTACATGAACTAAAAATGAAAGAAATTTGAAATGTGCAGATAAACAACCTCAACCGAGGCTTTAAAGTTCTGTCGGAAATAGAAAAAACTGTTTTTAGGCTATTACTCTGTATCCCTAAAATTTACACAATTGCAAATAGCATATGTCGAAATAACCCACATCGGCCTAACTGGGCGTTCAGTGGGATGCGTAATAGGATATCCAGAAAAGCCGTCGGCGTCCTGAGACGACACCAGAAAAGCATGCTTACTCGTAAAATCGCGCAAAATTTAGAAAGAATACGAATAGCTTCTGAAAACAATAGGTCAGACTATTGATGGCAATTAGGTCGCTCAGCCAGGTATGACGACGGACCATCGACTCACCTGTCATGAAATGAACGTGCTGCCTACAGGCACAAGGGGTCATATCAATGATATTTGATGCCTTTTCTTGTGTGTTGAATATGTTGCATCTATTGATTAACATCTTACGTGTATTTCTTTCATAAAGTTTATGTTCATATATGTAAAAAAGTATGACACCCGTAGAAAAGCCTAATCAGTCATCGTATTAAATGTCTCAAAATACATAAATGGCATGACCACCCAAACATCGACAGGACTGGATATTATTTGTAAATTGTTATGGCATGCCGTTTACTTCCCCAGTTTAATTCCCCTGAAGGATCATCTTATCTTAGCTGATATCTCTATACCCCAGCCCGACCCCAAATCAGCGTATGCGACACCCGTTCTTGTTTTGCTTTTGAGACGACCCCTCCTACCTGTTTCTTTTTATAGTGATAGTGAGACTCCATGGTAGCTGCATCCTTAATAGTTTCACAATTAAAGTTATTATTTTTTTACGTCAGCTGTCGTTTATAATGAAGCTAAGTCTAATTTCAAAATGGGTATTTAAAAAGTGTCCTTTGTAATACAATATCATCGGCCTCTAATTTTCATGAAGCCATGGTATGTTCCAAATAAGTCGATATGGACTTAGAAAAAACCCGCATTGCTCACTTCTGCACTGATCTCTCCTGAGTAAAGTCCAATTTTTACGTTTCCTATCTCCCTACCTCTGAGACTATAGTTAGGCCGAACTTAGTTTAACAAATATTTCACACTTTCACATATTATCTACGTAAATTGTAGATGTTAATGCGAAATAACAGTTTTTTTCCGACAGTACTTTAGTAACATTCATCGAATGTCCCAACGTCACATTTGACATCACGTACAGTTAGTAACGTGTGTGGTCTCCCTGAGAGTCAATTACTGCCTGGCACCTCATTCCCATAGACGCAATCCGATTGAGGATGACACCTGGGGAATTGTAGCCCACTCAGCCTCCAAAGCGCTGTTTTAATGTCTGAGGTTGTGGTTGTCGTACATGTCTATCCAATTCATCCCAAAGATGCTCAATTGGGTCCGGGGATCTGGTAGGCCATGGCAGAATGCTGTTTACTGGGAAGGCTATGGTGATGCGTGCTGTATGAGGACGGGCATTGTCCAGCCGGAAAACATCGTTAATGTTGGTCATGGTGGGGACGACGTGCGAACGCAAGATTTCATCGATATAGCGCTGTGCTGTCAAGTTCCCCCTGATGTGCACCATGTCTGTCCTTGCGTTATGAGAGATGGCTGACCACATCATGACACCTTCTCCACCAAATCACGCCTCTAACAGGACGTCTTGGTCGCAACCCTGCCTCTCGTAGACAGTTCTGACCAGTGTGGTCCGAGATCCTGCGCAGTCCCGGTACTGAGGATGCAGTGGAGGCAGCAGTTGGCGTTGTTCCTCTGAGCTTTGTTCAGCTAAAACAATCCTCTCATTTCTGAAAATGAGAATATGAATATGAATTATATTATGCTTACTTGAAGCTCTACTGCCAAACATACTTGCATTGCAAATTCCAGACATAAATAGATAAATAATTTTTTTTAAAATAACGAAAATGATGATGTTATGGCATTGACCTTGGCATTAATTGTTACGGTAGTGACGCAATAACGGTTGTGACACTTTTAATAATAGCCATTTATTTATGTTTACTTTAAAAGCTGATTGAATCAAATTTGTCAGTAAGATATTTCAGAATGTTTGAAGCATATGTAATAGGCAAATATTTACTTAGATGTCCCTGTCATGTAAAAAACAGGTAAAGACTGCATGTTACGGCAGTAACATTATGAGTAATGCCATTGAGCCACTAATGTCTCTACCGTAACGGCCCTATATAAGTCGTGTTCTTTTTTGTAACAGCCGTTATACTACCCTGTCCTTACCGTATCAAAAAATCATACATAATATACGCTTATTGGTTTTATTCATTTGAGAATAAGAATTCCAAACATTTGACATGTTTGAATTGAAATTTTAGATACAAACAATATTAAACTAGAAAAATGTAACCGCCGTCACAAAATCTGTCCTTACCGTAACAAAACCCATGATCACGGCAGTGACCGTAACGGTAGTGACAGCAACTAACAATATCAGTTTTAAAACATTCAATTTCTGTATTTCAGTTGATATTTAAGGCCAACGGCCTATTACAACATACAATGTATAGACAATATAATAGCACAGTGCGCTTGCGTACAATATGCATATTCATATGTGTAGTAATATACTGATACAATGATTCATGTGTGTGGTAATAATATAGAAGTTCTCAAATTCATTGCATGATGTAACTACATTGACACATTTATAATAGTCCCCTCCTTTTGGGGGGACATCAGGTAAACAAATTGATCTTTAGAAATTGTGTTGACATTGACATATTGTTTTCTAATGTGTGAAAGCGATCTACAACCCAAAAGAAAATGGTATTCATCCTCTATATCTCCCGATTTACATAATTTACCCAGTCTGTTTTTGCGCTCGACACCGTTCATACTACCAGTTTCTATTTCTACTGAGAGTGTACCGCAACGAAAGTTTGCCAAAATACACCTAAATTTACTTATTTGTAATGAGTTAAGTTTCAAATCTATACTTAAACAATTTGTAGTTATGTAGTTTACATGTATCATTTATTGAATTAAACCAATCTGATATAAATACATCTTTCATTCTTTGTTTAAACGCGTGGAGAAATAAAATTTATGTTTTGCACTCCCTGATTTGTCCATACATATATAAATCCACCAGAGCATAACATGTTTCTTACCTTGGTAACCCAGTCTACTTTTCCATTAGTATCATAGAGAAGTGACATTCTGTAACATTTTTTTACATATCTATGGTCAGGCATCCTGTTTATTTTAAGCCAATATTTAATGACTCTTACTGAAGTGTTAAGAAATAGAGCGTGTTAGTGTCTTTACTGCTAGTTGTAAATATATCTTGCCAGCTATTGACTGAATTCTTTCTGGTTCATTGTATAGTATATATCACCAAATTTCACATCCGTGTGTTAGGATTGGTAATATTTTGGTATGGAAAATATGGAAGAATAACTTCAATGTATTCTGTCTGTCTGTAGAACACTATTTCAAACTCGCTGCCCTTCCAGAGCTCTTCTTCTAATAGCATATTTCCATGATAGCTGAGGAGTGAAATATATACCTAGGTATTTATAATTATTCACAACTTTTAACTTTTCCCCATCAAATTCCTCCCTCCCTTTCTGAATACAATTATATTTAATTTTGCCATGTTAAATTTCAATCCAAATTCGATCGAAAGACTGTTTAACTGTTTTTGGAGTCCTTACCCACATTAGAAAACAACATAATGTCGTCAGCAAAAATAAATAAATATATATGTTCAAGATCAGGCATCAGTTGTGGCCCATAACAGTCTGAACATTCAATACTAGTTGCTAATTCAATTATGTATATAGGAAATATCAAAGGGTTCATAATGCTACCCTGTTTTAAACCGATAGGACAATTGAAGAATTCTGAATACGTTCTATTATTTCTTTCACAAGCAGCAACATCATTACATAGATTATGTATTATTTGAAATAATCTGCCTTTTATTCCGATGCGATTAAATAATTTAAATGATTATGGTCGCCTTACTGTGTCCAAAGCCTTCTTAAAGTCTATGGAAGTTGCATATACTTTCTCTCTTTTCTTCGTTATTTGTTTCTCTATCACTGCACTCAAAATAAATACGTTA